TTTTTGAGTTCCAAATTCTCTCCCTTCTTCTTCCCGTACCTCTTTGAGAAGGCAGCATTCAGTTTTGATTTTGGTTCCCTCCATAAACAATGGTGTAATCTCTGTGGATATATTGCTTTCCTGGTTCTACTTACTTCACTCTGCATCAGTTCAAAAAGTGGAAACGAGGGATATTTAGAGTTGTAGGTAAGAAGAGAATGCAGAGAACTGAGGCAGGACCACGGAGGACTTTGTTCAGGGAATCGCTGGTAGGCTAGTGGATTGAAACCTAGAATCAATGACAGGGTGGGAGTGGGGGTGCAGTTTGGAATAAAGAAAGAGACTATTTCAGAGAAGCCTGGAAGCAGAGTGAAGTAAACAGGACTGGGAGAACAATTTATACAGCAAGAAAAACATTGTAAAGACAAACAATTTTTGAAAGACTTAAGAACTCTGATCATTGCAAAGACCAGCCCTAGTTCCAGAGCACCTAGGAAGTAGCACGTTACCCACCTCCAGAGAGACACAAGGTATGGAAGAAGACACATATTAATGTTTTTGAACCTGGGCCACAGGGCAGATTCATTCTGCTCAACTACACTTTGTTTATGTTCTCAAACTTTGATGTCTGGGTTTTATATTCTAAAAACATTTTGCCTCATAAGCATCCTTGTGACTCCCCAAGAAGAAGAGTACAGCTAGGTGGCTTAGAGGAGAGATCACTGGGCTTAGAGGCAACAGGACCTGAGTTCAAATCTAGACTTAGGCATTTACTAGCTGTGAGTCACAAAGCATGTCACTAAAATTCTCTTTGCCTCAGTTTCCTTTTTGTAAAATGGGTATAATGATAGCACCTACCTCTTGGTGTTTTTATACCTCTCGGTGTTGTGAGGACAAAATGAAATACTTAATAAAGCTCTTTGCAGGCTTTAAGATGCTATATCATAATTTCAGCTCTAATTGTCAACATTGCTCTAAGATGGAAACAGTCTTGTTCTTCCTCTTTGGAAGATAGACCCACCTAGTTGGGAGTTCACATATTAACTGAATTGTTAAAGAATTACCTGGAAAGGCATGAAGGTGCCAGGTTACGAAGGGCTTTGAACACCAAACAGAGGATTTAAATTTGATGCTGGAGGTGATAGGGAGCCACTGGGGTTTATTGAATAGAGGAATGACATTGTCAGAGTTGCACTTTAACACCACTTTGACAGCTGAGTGGAGGATGGAGTGGAGCAAGGAGAAACTTAAGGCAGGAACACCAAGCAGAAGGCCAGGAGTGAGGTGAGAAGAGCCTGAACCCAGGCAGCAGTGTCAGAGGAGGGAAGAAGGTTTCTATGAGACATGTTATGAAAGTGGAAACACAAGACTTGATAACTGATTGGTTACAGTGGGGGGGGGGCATGACACGAAGGGATGAAAGCCCTCTACATATACAAGTGATCTCATTCCATCCTGTCTTCTGCAGCAGACTGCTCCCTTAATCATCCCTGTCTTAATAATATTCAATCTCTCCCTGTCTGTTGGCTGCTTCCCTACTGCCTAAAAACATGTTCATATCTTCACCCATTCTCAAAAAACCCTCATTTGATCCATCCATCCATCCCTGTTAGCTCTAGTCCTCTGTATTTCCTCTCTTCTGTGGCTACACTCCTTGAGAAGACCACCTACAAAAGGCACCTTCCTAGGATCCTCACTCTCTTCTTAACTGTCAATAATCTGGCTTGAACATCATAATTCAGTTGAAACTGCTCTCTCCAAAGCTACTTCTTGGGCTCGAGTTGTTTTTCTGTGACCCCATTTGGGGTTTTCTTGGCAGAGATACTGGAGTGGTTTGCCATTTCCTTCTGCAGCTCATTTTACAGATGAGGAAACTGAGGCAAACAGGGTGAAGTGACTTGCCTAGGGTCACACAAGCTAGTGTCTGAGGCCAGATTTGAACTCAGGAAGATGAGTCTTCCTGACTTCAGGACGGGCATTCTATCCACTTCACCACTTGGTAGGTGCTTAATAAATGTTAATTGGCTGACTGATAAAAAGACTAAGAGAGAATAAGAGAAAAATGATTTGCCAAGTGACTGAAAGGATTTAAAGTTCAAACTTCAAATTTGGAGCAGAAATCTTTAGAACAAAATCACCTTCGATCCAAGGGTTTGACTTAGGGTTTACACCAAACCTTTTCCACCCATTCATTCTGAAATATTACTATGTTTTTGGTGCATCTAGAACAAAGGAGTGATTTGAGATAAATTCAGAGTATCTTCAGATTTTAGCATGCCTCAAAGAAACAGCCCAATGATACTGTTAAAATCTGAGTTCCCAAGCAAAAAATTCAGAAAAGATTCCCTTTAGCTTTTACAAAATAAATAGTTCTCCAGCATCTATAAATCAAGATCTACATAAGTGGAACCTACTGATAGTGGCTGCATTCATTTTCGTCCTTGTTTCTTCTTTCTACAATTCACTTCTGTGATCCTTGAGGTTCAGTGAAAATTGCATTTCATAAAGCACATACTGTACAAAACATCCCATGTGTTGATTTGTTTTGCTTAAGTATATATTTCTTTGTTACAAGGGAGGGTTCTGTTGGGAGGGGAGAGGGAGAAAGTCATTGGAGATAGGGAGGTTTTTAAAACACGTTGTTTTTTAAAATGTATTCCAGACGTGGCCACATTATAGGTATACATGAAAGTAGGATAACATTTTCAGTTTCTGTTTTAAGTAACTTTTCTGATGACACCCACCATATTATTGGCCCTATGACTACAGCTAGATACTAGTATAGCACCTACTGTACTAGTTATATTCTGGGAATTGTCTACCTTGGCTCCTAGATAATTTGGATTTATTTTTCCAGATACTTTATTATTGCTATTGCAATAATCTAGGCCCAAGGTGATGAGGGCCTGTACCTAGGGAGTCATAGTGTCAGAGGAAAGAAGGCGATATAGACAAGAGATGTTAGGAAGGGAAAATCAACAGGCCTGGGCAAGAAACTGGATATTGGGGTGGGGGCAGAGATTCAGGGGTGTGCTGAGGCAGAATATAAAATGTTCAGTGTGAGCAGTTACACCTCAGAAACTGATGGACACTATAAATCAGGGCTTGATTTGTTTTGTTGATTTTCTAGACTTTAAGTAATGGATAAAATGTTAATACTGCACATTAAACTTAAAAATATTTTAAGAATACACCCTTCCCAGAGAGCCTGTTGTTAAACATTTATCAGCATACCTATGTGAGAGAGAATGAGAAGTAGAGGATGACCCCTAAGTTGTGAGCATGGGGAACTGGGAAGATGGTGTTGCCCTCTATAGTAATAGGGGAGGTAGGAGGGAAGGAGGGTTTTGAGGGAAAGACAAATGAGTTCGGTTTTGGACGTGTTAAGTTTAAGATGTCTACTGGAATCCAGTTCTAGATGTCTCATAGGTAGTTAGCGGTGATATTGATAATGGTAAGTAGATTTGAGAATCATCAGTATAGAGATATCATTGAATCCATGGGAGCTGATGAGATCACTAATTGAAATAGTATAGAGGGAACAGAGAAAGGGACCCCAGGGCAGAGCCCTGTGGGATGCCTACAATTAGTTGTTGTCGGTGGTAGTGGGGTAGTGGGGGTGGTGGTCCTTTGTTCTCAAAGTAGGCATGACTTAGAAGAAGATCCAGCAAAGACTACTGAGAAGGATTGGTCAGCTAGGTAGAAGGAGAACCAGGAGAGAGTAGAAACCTAGGGGAAAGAATGTATCAAGAAAAGGGTGATTTAAATATAGTGTCAAAGGCTGTAAAGAGAGGTTAAGAAGGATGACATTTGAGAAAAGGCCATTAGATCTGCCTCCTGGCTTCCCTGGCTTCTCTTCTACAGAGTTTCTCCTGATCCCTTTTTAATTCTAGTGCTTTCCCTCTGTTGATTATTTCCAGTTTATCCAGGAAATAGCTTCTTTGTACATAGTTGCTTGAATGTTTCTAAATTGGACTGTGAACTTTCGGGTAGGGACTGTCTTTTGCCTTTCTTAGGAAGTCACTTGCCCTCTTTCAGCCTCAGTTTTCCACTTGAAAAGCTGAGGCAGAATAAGATAGTGTCAACTCGAAGTTCTACAATACTGTAAACAGTTGTATTTCTCAGTGCCTGTTTCCTAATCTATAAAATGAAGGTGTTGGAGGTATCTATAATGACCCTTCCATTTTATAATCCCAATACTCCTGAAAGTCCTTTCACCTTTCTAAGCTACAGTTTCACTAATTTTACAATTTCACTAAATGTAAAATGAAAGTGTTGGAAATAGCTATAAAATTCATGCATCATTTGGGAGTTATATTACCTAGACACAATATTTATATCAATACAACTACAGAACACTATATAGTAATACAAGGTGACAAATATTTGGAGATTCACTACTTGTGGTTGGGCCATGCCAATATAATTAAAAAAAAGAATATAATTGATTTTAGATTTAGTTTTCTACAAGAAGGGATTGGGAAAGATGATTTCTAAAGGTTCTTTCAGTTCATAATCCTGGGATCCTATAGGCTAACTCACTTTAACATTTATTAAGCACCTACTATGTGTGTTGGAGTCACTGCCCTTCCTTGGGCCTGTTTTCTCCTCCAGACAATGAAGGAGTGGGATGTGATTACCTTTAAATGCAATTTCAGCTCCTAACTCGGACTTCATGTATCACTTCCTTTTCAGAAGTCATTTTGTCATCTATAAAATGAGTGCCTGGACAAGATGATCTCTATAGGTCTTTCTAGGCTGTAATCCTATGGTTTTCTAAGTCCTTACTCTTTCTTGCTGGTCATTTTCCTAATTCACAAAAAACAGGGTATTGGATCCATAAAAGAGATTACTTCCCCAGGGGTTTAAGACAGTAGCCCACTTTCTTTCCCTTCCTCTACCTTCCCCTTCTCTCCCCCCCCCCCCCCCCCCCCCAATCCCGCCCTTTCTTTTCCCTCGCCCCCCCTTTAAGGATCTTTTCTGGCCCCGCCCCCTAAGGTTAGACAGCGCCGAATTCGGCACTTGCGCAGTAAGCTGCGAGCAAACGGAAGTCCAGAAGCTGCTACCCTCTCCCTCTGGAGCGACCGGGGCGCGTTTGTTCGCTCGTTCTCTCTCGGTTTCTGTTGCCTTCTCACTCCCTCTCTTCCCCCTTCCTTCCCTCCCTCTGTCCTCTCTTCTCCTGTCCCTCCCACGGTCGGCCAGGCCCTTCAAGCAGTCGGCGGCGGTGTGCCCTCATCTTCTCGTTGTTGGGGTAAGTGCGGACATGGCGAGAAGTCCTTGCTGCTTGCTGCTCGTCCACGGAGATTTCCCTTCTCTTAGCATGATTTCTTCCTCGTTCGAAGAGAAAGAAGGAAGGGGGTGGGGGAAGGGAGGGGGGGAGGAGGAGGAGGAGGAGAGTGGACGGGGAGGTGCCTTGTGGCGTCCATTGCGGCATTTGCGCGCCGCGTGGTGCTAGCTCTTGCGCTCACCCTTGCCACCTCCTGCCTTTGTCCTTTCTTTCCCAACGCTTCGAGCTCTTCTTTCCCGCATTCATTCCCAAACAAGCTCTTTGTCGGCCATTCTTCATAGGTACAAGTCCGCGTTTATCTCCACCCCTCCCGCCAAAAAAAAAGAAAAAGAAAAAAGCGTTGTCGCTTACGGTAAAAAGGGATTTGGCTTCATATTTGGCTCTTGCCACTTACTACCCAGTTTACGTGACCTTGAACGAGTCCCTTGACCTCTTTGGGCCTTAACTTCTTTCTCCGTAAAAATGAAGGGCTTGGGAAAGATGGCCTCTAAGCTCTAGACTTGGGTGATACCGTGATCTTCATTGATGGCACATCTCTTCCTGTCTCCCCCCACCCCCCTTTGTTTGATACATGATACTCTACCCCTCACATTCTCATTTTTGCTCCTCACACATAGTGGGTGCTTAGGAAATACTGGCCGACCAATTTTTTTTCTCCCACAGCAGGATTTGAAGGCAGAATCACTGGACATAGTCTGGTTTTCCCAGCAGCTCTTGGACGCTCTCCACATATACGAGCCTCAGGTTCCTTGTCTATGAAATTATCTTGTCAGGAGAAAAATTGTAACGTATAAAGAGCTATAAAATTAACTGAGTTAGTAATTCAATTGCAGACACTCAAAGGCACCATTTGAGGAGTCTCTGAATTGGAGTTTTAAATTTAAATTAAGGAAATGTGATCCGTTACATTTACCAGTTTCATTTCATTTTCTACATTTAGTGGTTAAGGTCTCTCCAAGTGAATGGTTATATGATACGCATCTACAGTAAAGAAAGGAAAAGGAGAAAAGCCCGGTACCAAACTTGCAGGCCTGAATGACGTGTATTTCTGGCATAGTTAAATGCAGGTCTCTAGGAGGGTAGAAGGAGGAGGGGCACTGCAGTCCTCCAAGTTTTGAGTGGCAGTTTACAAGATGGCTTCCCAGCCTTCTCTTTTGTACTGGAAAAATCCGTTCTTGTCTTGAGGTGTGCTAGGGATGCTCCTTCCTTTTCAGTTCCAGATCATAGTCGAGGGGCAGAGGCAAAGGGGGCAGGAGGTCAGAAGGTTACCTATTGTTTCTTAAGGATCTGGGCTTTTTTTTGATGGGGTTCTGCATCCAAATGCCAGTCTATATAGGAGGGGAGAATAAATGCAAAATACAAAGACTTACATCCTTATCTGTTTAGTAAGTTTGGGTTTTGGCATATCTGCTTTCAGTTGAGTAATGAAGTCAGAAGCCAGATTATAAATAGTTGAGATGTGTGGGAGAGAAAGTGGAGGCAAGGGAGTAGACAACTTTTTCTAGAACCTGGCCTTTGGAAGGGAACAAGGCTATGGGATAATAAAGGGATAAAACTAAAGGGATGATGGCTTGAGGAGTTGCTAAATTCCGTATCCCAGGGCCCTTGTGAAAGCAGGTACATTAGAGGTCACTGATTTTGGAGTCAGAACCTGGACTCTACCACCAGCAGTGAGCCTGAACAAGTAACTTTGTACGCTAAGCTTTAGAGTAGGAGAAATAGCTCAGTGACCTCTAATGGCCCTTCTAGCTCTAAAACTGGGATCTTATAGTCCAGGCCTGTAATATACTGCCTCCTCACTTCTGCTTTGTAAAGTTTCTACCTTTTTTCCATGCTTTGCTGAAGCGCCGTCTCCTATCCGAGGCTCAGCCTAATTTCCTTCTCTGCTATCTCAAAAAAAAATTACTTTTGCTGTGTTGTGTTTCCTTACCTGTGTTGGTACTGCTTGCTTTCCTCTCCCCTCCAACATTAAACTTCCTAAGAGCAGAGGCTTTTTATTTTTTTGGTATCCAGATTACTAACCCAGTGCCTGCCACACAGTAGGTACTTAATGAATGCCTGTTGTGAGAATAAATAAATGAAAGGTGTGTGCAAGAAGAGGCTTGATAGAGGGAAGAAAGAACTAAAGGAAAGCTTGAGGAAGGGACTTTGAACCATGCACCTATCTAAAGTATTCAGATAGCTCGTTACTTTGGACAGAAGTCCTCAGTCCAACCCCTCAGTTTGGTGCTGCCAAGCTTCTGTCCTTGGCTTTTTATTCTTTTTGTCAACACTAATTCCTGGAATTCATTCTGGTGAAAGAAGGGATTATAAAACAATACAGATGTCAGCTGTTACCATAATGTTGAGTCTGTTTTTGTCTGTTAGGTGCAGTCCATCCTTTAGGATCCCTGTTGAGTGTCTGTCTGAAAAGCTGGGTCCCATTTTATCTGTCAGGTAAGTTTGGATGTTATGTTTACAGCAGGACACACAGGTATGTGACAATTCCATTTAAAAAAAAAAGGTTTGTTAAGTGACTATTATGTATTAGGTACTTTGCTAGGGAAATAAAAAGACAAAAATGAAATAATCCCTGCCCTCAAGGAATTTAGACTCTGGGCACAGTAAAGAGGTCCCAAAAGGTGGAAAACGGGGTCCCTGAACTGAAGCTTCGTTTTAAGTCCTTTATGTGAATATTTCTGACTTTTTTTTTCTTTGTAACACTTCTAGATGTCTAATGTCCTATTTGGAGTTGGATTTGAGGGAGAAGCTACATAAGAGTTTAGGGAAAGGGATAAAGGTTTGTGCTTAAATAGAATGATGAAAAGGGAAGAGGGATGAGGGCAGGGAAAATAGAGGAGATAAGAGGCTCTCCAGTCCTCACCACCTTTCTACAGAAAGGAGGGAGTTGTGTTTTAACATCTGTTCTCTGGGTCCCAGATTAGTGGGCCTCCCTGTGTATTTACATTATTATGCATTGTTATAGTCATTGTATATATTACTCTCCTGGTTCTGCTTACTTTGCTACATTGGCACATAAAAGTTACTTTGTTTTTCTTATTTATTGGTTTTGACAAAGCAATAGTATTACATTCAAATGCCACAGTTAATTTAACTACTCCTCAGTCTATGGGCACCTTTGTTTCCAATTTTATAATCTTACCATTATGAGGGGTGTCAGTTTTTAGTTGAGAAGAGGTTTAGGAGTCATTCAGACAGATCTTTATAGGCCAGAGCAGGGGTGGGGAACCTGTGGCCTTTTAGGTCCTCCGGTGTTCGAGTCCAAATTTTACAGAACAAATCCTTTTATGAAGGGGCTTTGTTCTGTGGTGTTTGGATTCAGTCAAAGGACCTCACTTGAGGTTCCCTACCACTGGGCTAGAGCACTGGGCCAAATCTAATAAGGAGACACATAGTATAATATTCTAGACTTGAGTTCAAAAAAATTCAAAAATGAATTACACCTTTTGATCCAATAATCTTGTTATTGGGGAAAGACCCTGAAAATGTTATCAAAACAAAATATGTTCAGAGCTCTTCATAGCATTAAATGTGATAGTAACAAAACCCAAACTGGAAAAAGAAACAACTAAATGTCCAACAGTAGGTAAATGGCTGAATTGTGGCCTGGTAATATAATGTAAAGAAATCCGTAGGCAGCCCTGGATTTAAAAAACAAAAAAAGCATATTATAATGCAATTCAGATGGACAAATCTAAGCAATAGAAAAAAATATGGGAGGATCTTTATGTAATAATGCAAGGTGAAGAAAAAAGCAGGACCAGCAGAAAGAATACACACTGACCATGTAAGAGGTAAACCGAATTGGAATGAGTGGACAAAGAATCTTGAGTTAGACATAGGAATTAAAATCGTTTTGATGCTTCTTGTGTTGAAGATAATTTGTATGTATATAGTTACTAAAAAAAAAATGTGGTTTGTATTGATGTATAATGCAAAATTTATAAGAAAACTTGGTATAGAAGAAATCGGGTTAGTCTGACATGCTGTGAGGCCTACTTCAGGCCTTGATCAATTCACTAAACTACATACTTGTTCCACTAATATAATGAAAGCCAGGGAGTTGGACCTGTTCTTAGAGCATACATGCTATGCCTGTGTATAAAGTTCTTGTTTTCTGGAAAACATACATAGAATGTTACTTAGGTTTCCTTACGAGCAATAGTGACCACCACATCTGTCAGTCTGTGGGACTTTACTGATGTGTGGCCACTACATCTCTACTAAAAAAGAGGGAAATGGGTTCATCTGTCCTTTGGAACCAAGATTGGTCGCTGTAATTGGAGGTCAGATGTCTTTCAGCTTTGTTTGCATTTATATTATTGTAATTGTGGTGTATATTGTTTTCCTTCCTCTTCGGCAGTTCGTTGTCATTCTGTGTTTTTCTGAATTCTTTTCGGTGTTCTCCAATTGATGAGCATTTATCATGTCACTAGTTTTTTTTGATAACACTCAAAAAAATGTTGCTTTGAATATTTAGGTAAATGTGGAGCCTTTTTCTGCCTTTGACCTCCTTATTTCCCCCATGTTTTATTAGATAAGAGCATCCCGAAGTTAGTCTTATATGTGGACAACTTGTTAAGAGATACAGTGAAGAGGGTGAGGAAGCCAGCCAGTCTGTTTGGAAGATACCTTGGACAGAACAAGGCACAAGTGTGCGACCATCATGCCCAAGTTTTACTGTGATTACTGTGACACGTACCTCACTCATGATTCTCCATCTGTGAGGAAGACACACTGCAGCGGGAGAAAGCATAAAGAGAATGTGAGAGACTATTATCAAAAGTGGATGGAAGAGCAAGCCCAGAGTCTGATTGATAAAACAACCACTGCATTTCAGCAAGGAAGAATTCCTCCCAACCTATTCTCTGCTCCTCCTCTCGGAGGGCCTATGATCCCACCTCCTCACCCTAGCATGATGGGGCCCCCCCCTCCTGGAATGATGCCTGTGGGGCCACCTCCTGGCATGAGGATGCCCATGGGAGGCCACATGCCTATGATGCCTGGCCCTCCGATGATGAGGCCCCTTCCTCATCCCATGATGGTGCCCACCCGCCCAGCAATGCCCAGACCAGACAGATAAAATGGAGAGAATATAAAGAAACCCATTTCTCAGTTTTCTATTCTTTGTTCTATTTCACCAGAACATCATGGTGCTGGGTCTCATACATGGGTTTCCCCCCCCCCTTCCCTTTTTAAAATGTCAGCACTCTTTTAAGTCATTGTCATTTTTCCATGATTTCCCCACCCCCGGTATATCCCTCCATCCTTCCTCAGTGTATCCCTCCCCTGTGACAAATAAGCACAGTGAAAAGAAAAATCAACATATTGGGACGTGTCTAAAATTTATTCCTCGTTCTGCACCTGTAGTTTAACATCTCTCTGCCAAAGGAAAGGAAACATGCTTTACCAGTCCTCTGAAGTCACAGTTGCATAATGCATTGATCAGAATTTTGAAGTCTATCAGTGTTGTGTTCCTTTATATTGTGGTGATTGTGTAAATTGTTTTCTTGTTTCTGCTTACTTTCCCTCTCCCATTAGTACATACAAGCCTTTCCAAATTTCTGACTTCTTCATATTCATATCTTGTAGCACAGTAGTAGTCTATTGCTTTCATATCCCATATGTTGTTCATTTGATGTTTCTCAATTGATGAGTATTGTTTGCTTGCAGTTCTTTGCTACTACAAAAAGTGCTGCTATAAATATTTTTGTATATATGGGACCTTTCCCTCTATCTTTGCCCTTCTTGGGTTATATGCCAATAGTGGTATCACTGAGTCAAAGATAACGTGTGTTTTAGTGACTTTTTAGAGTAATTCCAGATCATTTTTCAGAACTGTTGGACAAATTCACAGCTCCACCAAAAGTGCATTAGTGTGCCTATCTTTCCACAGTCCTTCCAGCTTTGACCATTTTCATCTTTTGTCATCTTTCTCAATCTTATGGGTGTAAAGTGATGCTTCAGAATTGTTTTTGATTTGCATTCTTTTTAGAAAGTTAGAGCATTTTGTCATGATTGTGGATAGCTTGCGGTTTTTCTTTTTGCAAACTGCCCCAGGGGTAGTTTCCAAACATGTAAGAAGACTTCCCACATCCTGTCAAAGAAGAAACAATTTAAAAAGGAAGAGTGGGGCAGAAATGCAGCTTATAGCTTATATTTGTATTGTGACGTATAAAAATAAAAGTACCAACTGTTTTAGCATTTTAAAAAATTGACTCTCTCTGACAGAGCTCTCTTGAACTGTCTGTTCAGACACGCCGTGCAAATCACCACTCAAACCCTGAGCTCCAGGAGACTTGAGATGACATTGAGGCACACTTACTGGGGGTCCCTGCCTTGAAACTAGGAGGATGGGAATGGTTATTCTACCACAAAGAATGTGAAGATTCTGGCATCTCTAGCTGCCTAACACTAACAGTGCAAGAGAATCCAAGTGCCATAGGTTTGTTGGCAAGCTATTGAGCTCTCTAACACTTAGGCATCCATACTTAGATTTTATTGTGATAGTTGTCCCATCTATGAGAAAGACACTGCAGGTTGAACAAGTTCAGCCTGATTGATAAAACACTTTTAGCCAGGAAAAATTGCACTATTCGAGGAAGAGCTGTGGTCTCACCTTGATTTATCCTGTGGAGAGGGCCTTCTATGTTACCTGTGATGGGAGGAAGTGGCCCCTCAGATGCTTCTGGGACCATAACAAGCACTTTTTGGAGTTGAAGCCTGAGTGGCAGGCTTGGGGTTGCGTGAAGATAACACTTGATAGGAGTCCCTGCTTTGATATTGGAGAATAAACTGGTCAGTATGTAGAGGGAGACATGGTGGTTTTGTGGCTGCCCAACCTGTGGGATGGAAATCTGACTGAAATGGGTGTAAGCAATCTGTCAGGCTTCTCAAAAGTTTTTGTATTTGGGTTGAGATATTTTACTTTTGCATTCAAGTGTAGTCCTTTGGCTGTCATGAGGGGTCAATGTGTCCCAAATTGGGTAGTGACCCTCACCAGGCATTCTTTATTAAAGCTTGCAATGCACATTATGTAAATTACATGGTTTTGTCCTCACAACAATCCCTGTAAAGTAAGTACTGTTACCCCCATTTTGCATATAAGGAAATTGAGGCTGAGAGGTAAGTGACTTGCCCAGGGTCACACAGTTAATAAGTAGGATTTGAACTTGGCTCTTACTGAATAATAAGTCCAGCACCATCCACTGTGATATCTACCTATTGATTTATCAACCTGAAAAGGGAACATCACTGTTTCCTGTTTGATTTGAAAGCAGTGTGGTATCAAATGGGGTTGGCTAGGTCCTGCTGTGGATAGAGCCTGGAGTCAGAAGGGCCGAGTTCAAATCCTGTGCCAGACGCTACCTGTGGGACCCTGGGCGAGTCACTTAACTGCTGCTTGCCCTAGTTTCCTCAACTGTAAAATGGGGATAATAGCACCTACATCAGTACTTCCTTCCCTTCACCCTAATCATCATCACAGGGACAGGGAATTGATGTAGGGCATGGCTAAAGTCACTCAGCTTCCCCTAGCCACATGCTTCCACTGTCCTTCCCATCAAGTATTGATCCCTTTAGGGTTATCCAGTCTGTGTACGTAAAGAGTGAGGCTGAACTGCCCCATTTCAGCTCTGGTATCTTAACTGGAAAATAACATTTGTGTGATTCCTTCCAAGTGTTTTTAATCAGGTAAGGATCAGAGCTGAAATGGGGCTGTTCAGCCTCACCCTTACATCTACAGTACAAAGTTGGGATGGGGCTTGGGCCAGGATGGGATGAGCTAGGGAGGAGAGGGACACACAGTGGGGCCAAAGTAGCCTGGGGGCAAGGAGTGCCATTTCCCGGTGGGAGAACAATGCCATTCTCTGTGAGGAATGTTCCAAAGAGACCCATCATGGGATGTTGGTGTTAGAAGGGACATCCAACCCCCTCGTTTTACAGATGAGGGAGAGTGAGGCAGCCCAGAGGGGACAGGCCCTTGAGAGTGATCACCCAATTAGTGCCTGTGGCCAGCTAAGAGTGGAGCCCAGTCTACAGCTCCTCGCCCTGCCTCCCAACCCACCCCTGCTGCTGTTTCCTTCCTCATCACCCAGCGTCTCCTTTCTCCCTTCTCTGCTTTATCGCCTGCCCTAAGGCTGGCAGCAAGCTGAGGGAGGGGGATGAGCGCCTTGTGCTTGGGGTGGTGGCCCTTCCCACCTCTCACCACGGCCGAGGTGAATGTGGAGGGCACCGAGGCTTCTAGGCCTCACGAGCCAGGTTAGGCCTTAGGGTGGGTTTTTTCGGAGAAAAATCTTTTTTTGCTTTCTCCTGCAGGCCCTGGGCATTTGGGGGTGGGGGTGGGAGGTGCAATCCTCTAGGCCTTATGAGTGGGAGAGGGAAATCTCAATTTCCCTCGATTCTCCGATGGGTGGGGGATGACTTCATTATATCCTCAGCCTTTCTTGTCCTGTTATTTGAGTTTGAGCCTGAGCCTGGATCCACCTTGGCCTGCCCCTCTTTCTGCCCCAGGTTCTGTGCCTCAGCCTCAGTTTCCCTGTCTATAAAGTGGTGGTAAAAAGGTTTGTACCACTGACCTATAGTGCCGATCCAGGAAAAGAATGGATGAGATTGCAAAGGGCCCTCTATGCACATATTAACTGTTCCAGTTTTGGTAAGTCCTTTTTTGTGCCTCTGGGTTAATTATGTAAGGGCTAATGTACTTACGGGGCCTCTGATGGGGAGTAAAGTTAGCTACTTAAGAAAGGGGATAAAGCATATATACATATATATATATGTAATGTATATGTATATATGTAATTAATAGCAGATTAAAAAGAAGGCAGTTTAAAGGCAGAAAAGGAGATGAAAAGAGCAGGAAAAAAAATATTCTCTCTCTGTAGTTTCCCATCTCTCTACTGAGAGGGGAGAGGTTTGTTATATCATACAGCGTGCACTCTCAAATAAAGTAAAGAAATCAGGTTACTTAACCTCTATGGGCCTCCATTTCATTGTCTGGAAATCGAGGGGGTCCAGAGGGTCGGATGGGATTGCATCCAAAGTCCCTTGGAGTTCTAATTTATGCACCTGGACTGATTTTGGTTATTCCGTTAAAGGAGAATTCAGCTGCCCTTTTAAAATAATTATTAGTATTCCATTTAATATTTAATTTTGTTACATTTAATTATTATTAATTATTCAGCTGTGGTTTTTGCTTAGGTTATTTCAGTTACTGTGTCTGTTGTTCTTATTTCTGGTTCTGCTTATTTTCCTTTACATCACCTCAAACAGTTCATCCTCCATTTTTCTGAATTCTTCATATCTGCTGTTTCTTAAAAATAAATTTTATTGCTATTTTTACATCCTCTAAAATTTCTCCCAGCATTTCTCCCCTTCACTCCTTTTAGAGTCATCCCATGTGATAAAGAATATTTTTAAAGGAAAAAAAAAAACAGAAGAAAAGAAAAATCAGCAAAACAAAGTCAGTAAATTGAAAAAGTCAGAAAATCTGTTATTAAAACATAATACTATTCTGTTATATCTATACACAATTTTTTTCATTTTCTATCTATTGTGAACTTAAAAATCAAATCAAATTAACACTTCCATATACGTTGTGGAATAGGAGAAGATTGTATATAAAAGTACAAGTCTCTATTATTGCTAAAGGTTTTTTAGCCATTTCTCCATTGTCTAGTTTTTTTTTTTCTATCAAAAGAAGTGCTACTGTATTTTGGTCTTTGACTTCTCATGCCCCCTTATCAGGATCACTGAGTAAAAAGGATGCAACAATTTATTGATTTTGCTCACATAATTCCAAGTAGTTTTCCAAAACAGTGCACCATGAAATATACCTGTGTTCTCACAGACCCTCTAACATTGACTATCTCTGTCTTTTATTCTTTGCCTCCGTATGGGGTGGGGGAGAAACATACGAGATGCTTTAATTCATGTTTCTCTTATTACCTAGTGACTTGGTGGGTTCTTTTACATAGTTGTTTACGATTTGCAGTTCTTTTGAAAGTTGTTTATATCTTTGATCACTTCTCTCTTGGAGAATGGCTCTTGGACCTCTATGTTTGTGTCTATTTCCTGCCTATCCTGGAAGCCAGACTTTTGTTAGAGATATTTGATGCAAATATCTTCCTTCTTGAGCCTTTCTCTTATGCTAGCTACCTTGATTTTATTTATAGAAAAACTTGAATTTTATTGATTTACTGAAAATGGCTATTATGTTTTATATACACCTCTATCTCTTAATTAGGACCTTTGCCTTTAACCATAGTTGTGAAGGGTACTTTCTCAATTATAGGAATAATTTTTGTAACATAGGTCATATTTGTTCTTTAAATGTTTGGAATTTACTTGTAAATCTGTCTGGACCAGGATTTTCCACCTCTTTGGTAGTTCATTTATGTCTTGCTTGATTTCTCTTTCTGAAACTGGGTTGTTTTGATGACTGTTTCTTGTTTTGTTAATTTGAGTATTTTATATGTGTTTGTAAAATAAATTTTTATTGATATCTTTTCTTTTTCCATAACTGAAATATCCCCCTGTATCTCTCCCTACCCCTCCCATCCTATTTAACAAAAAATTGGGGGTATTTATTTGCAGGAAATCATCTATTTCCTCTAAGTTTTTCCTTTGAAGTCAGCCCAGGAGGGATGGGAACCCACAATAAAGAAGTTCTGAAGACAGAATTAAATTCCCATGACAAGAACATGAGACTTATCTGAAGAGCTCAAGATGGATGTCCAGAGAACTCTTCCCTTTATAGTCATAAAAGATATTTACAGAAGATGAAAAGAAGGGCAGGTAAATGAGGATGAACTTCAGATTGTGGTATGGTCCAGTAAAAATGGTGTCAGAATGAGCTGAGGCTAGTGAAGAAAGAAAAGGACACTGTGATAAAAATGGTGTTTTAAGCTCTTTGGGAGGTAAGAAGAAAATCCAAGAAGGGACTGGCATACTGCTTGTGCTCAATGACTACAAAGTTGTTCAGTTCTTATTTTTCTTCTGTTTGTTTGTTTATGCCAAGGAGAATGATCTTTAGTGACAGAAGTATAAAGAGACATTTGGAGTTCCTACCCTGTTCATGAGTTCATGTAATCTGACTGAGATGAGCTAATTCCAAGGTAACATTAGTATAATATCCCCTGATGAGACTACCTCTGTAGTATTATGTGCCATCCTGGGTGCCACAGTTTAGGAAGGACATTTAGGAAGGACTCCCCAGAGG